TCACTGCTGCAACACAAACACCACAACTGTTACAACTACACACTGCTTCAGAAAAGCACTGACAGGTCATGTGATCAAACTCAGCTGATGCTAATGATGTCATCTGAATAGTTTAGTGTATAAACTTACATAACAATGAATTAGAAATAATACATATATATAAATTATCAATTCCAACAGTAAGTTTGGTTTGAAATCATTTGTTCACCTCCTCCTGCCGAACAGCCCAAAACCTCTGCATAAGTCCTGAGATCAGAAGTTAGTCACTGGACTTAAAGCTAGAGTAGCTCATCTGTTTCAGAAACATATTTCTTTAAACATCCCAATATCAATCAATAAATTTAATTCTCTGACAACAAAAAAGATCCGTCCTCTGTGACGGTGGCAGGGCTGTAAAAACACTTTCCGATCATTGTATTCGGGCTGAGTGCAAAGTTTGGCTGGCCTGTCTGTCCGTCAGCTTCCAGCTAGCATGCCTGTGTGTACTCAGGCTGACTCGCTGCGTCGCGGTCAGACAAGCAGCAGTTGCAGATAAAGAGGAAGAGACGCATAGGAATGGCTTGTGAGGCTTTTAGGTTAGAGAGCGGACGGTGGGAAGCTTGCTCTTTCTTTTTATTCTTCCTCCAGGAAAAGTTGTCCCCATGATCAAACAAATTACAGGGCTTCTTTCCTCAGCTTCCCGCTCCAGCCTGCATCATTTTGGGGTTATTCCACCTAAGAAACATCAATAAACTGTGTCTTGTAGTTTATAATGCAGAATTAGAGATACTTTTACATGCTTTTATTTCTTACTACAATGCACATCTCTTTCCTCAGTAAATCTGCCCTGGATCTTCTGCAAGTAATCCAGAATGCCACCACTGGACTTCTTAATAGGTCAATAGGTATGGGTGTAATATGATGGTCACCTATTACACTGATACTCAATTCCCGTCATTGGCTCCCTGTTACATACAGAATTCAGTTCAAAAATTTCATTCTTACATACAGAACACTGCACCAATCAATCCCCTGCACATTCAACTGATCTACTCCACCAATCATAAACAGCTTGCTCTCTCAGGTCAAGGAAGTTAAATCTACTACCTGTCCCACGTTAAAAGGCTTGTGATGATCGAGTTCTTGAGGCTGCAAAACCTTGTGGAATACTCTACCTGCTCCTCTAAGGTTGGCTGATTCTCTGGAGTCATTTATAAAGCAGCTAAAGACCTGAAGATCTGGTTTAAAAGCACATGAACCTGAGTTTCAACCAGGTTAATTTGGTCTCAGGCTCTGACGCACAAGCTGTTCACAGGATATCTCACCTGTGATCAGGTGAGTTCAGGTGAACAGGAAGTTAAATTCCTTTGTCAAATTCTGCTGATGATAAACCTGATGTCAGCTGTTGATTATCAGCAGCGTCAAACAGGCGAGTCACGCCCAAGCATCAACCCCCGAGGCTAAAACACGAAGCTGCAGTTCTTCTAACGACCACTAGAGTCTGGCTCCAACAGTGAGTCAGTCCCCATAGACTCCCATGTTAAAATGTCCAACTTTACAGCAGAAATAAACATGTTTACAGCCTGGTACAGAAACTGTTTTGTTCTCTAGAGCTAATTTCCTCCTTCATGACTTTATATAACTCACCTGTTTTTATTTAATTTTATTAAGATCTAAAATTATGGAGGATTGAGGGCGTGGCCTCTTTGAGTGACAGGTGGATGAGTGTACGTTTCAGTCTCAGTTCCACACACGCTCCTCCTCTTTGACCATATTTGGATTAGCTGGGAGCTATGGGTGGAGTCAGACACTGCCAAGATGATGACGGTAGAGCAGCTCACTGTGAGCTTCGGAAACCTGAGGCGACGGCCATCTTTATTTACAGTCTGTGGTCACACCTGTCTCATGCTCACATTTCACTGTAAAATATTTACCTCTAAAGGTGATTTCATCAAACAGAGGTCAGGTGACGCTAACAGGCTTGGCTATTTAAACGTAGCAAAGCTAACTTTACTTCCCAGCAGCACAAGCTGTCCCAGTGTAACAGGCCGACTAGTTTCCTAGTTTCTTTATGTCTGATGTATTTCAGAAACATGACCGAAACTTTCATGTTTCTGAAATACATCAGACATAAAGAAACTAGGCTACCAACAGCTACCGCCAACTCTTAAGGATTTTTAATGGTTTCTTGGTGTTACTCAGTGCATGGTTGACCTTTGGAAATCAAGCAATACACTGGCTCCAGCAACTGTTAGGTGGTGACCCAACCTGAACTGGACAATCCATTCTCTACAGCTCCTCAGAAAAGTTCTGATATAGAGGAAACCACAGAGAGACACATAATATACATTATATATTATACAACCAAGAGGTCGTAACACTGCAGCCACAGATAATGGACTCACTGTAGAGCATTGCTCTGAAGACGTTGTGATGTCTGATGTGTTCTGTTGTTTCCAGGTGGAAACAGGTGGGATTAAAAACATAAATGACCCGTTACATCAAGTTTCCCAGTGAGTTATTGAAGCCAGGACGTTTCACTGTACTGTGATGTTCTGCTGTGATGATCAGTGCCGCTCAACATCTGGGCCCCTACATATGTAGGCCCCTCCATCCTCAGGCCTGTACAAATAACTGAAGCAACCGACGCACATGTGTGGTGGTTATTAGAGTAGCCAGTCACAGAGTTGATAAGACATTGAAGAGTCTGCATCCTCCCTGTGTGAAGCTTCCGCTCTCAGCCTCATTCAGTCACTTCTTCAGCTCTGCATCAGACTCTGGCCTTGGGACAAAAGTGGAGCAGCTCGAAGAGTTGCCCTGAGGTGGTGTCGTCTGTGAGTATGAGGAGTCAAGAGGTGATCACACAGGTGAAGAGGATGTGAATGAAAAAAATCTATCAGAGGTCTTTGGTTGATCAGATTTGATCGACAACATAAACAAAGTGTTATGAGAATCTGATTGAACGCGTCTGAGTGTTTCTGTGGAGACGTTGGCTGAAGGTTGGAGAGCAGGCAGCCGTCCACAGCACGACAAGAACTCAGTGTCCAACACGAATGCTTCATAACCACAAAGTGACTCGTCACCGTTGCCCAGGTGATGCTGCTGAGCCGCTCCCTGACCTCCGTCACAACCAGGAGATGAACCTGTCTCATCATGATTCTCCCTCCAGACACCAGAATAAAACATGAGCTGTGTTAGTGTGAACTCACCGGTCAAAGGAGTCCAGCTGGACCAGGAGCCACAGAGAGACTGGATCGTCTGCTGCTCACTCAGGTGTATCTGCTCCTCATGTGACTTACCTGCAGCGTCACCTGTCCACCCCGCCCCAAGTGTTGAGGGAGTTGTGCTGATACGATGGTAATTTAATTGTGAGCACACACAGCAGTCCCTCTGGTCTCTGCGGTCCTGGTCTGTGGAGGACCTGAGGTGAAGCCAGACTCAACAGGTGTATCACAGTGAGGCAGGTAAAGCCTGAATCAAATAAAACAAGTGACTCTCTGAGGCTCAGGTGTGGTCAAGTTAGGTTAGGTTTTCCTACATGGTAAACAGAGCTAACTATACTTTGAATATATAGTGTACTGTGAGGCTTCAGGTGTGGCCCTCACCTGTCCTTCCTTGTTACCTGTGGTTTCCTCTTTGTTCCAGGAAGCTGATGCGTGGAGCAACTCACCTGAGCAGGTTGGGTTCAGTTCCGCCTATAAAGCAGACCTACACACACGCCCTGCTGTGTTAATGTCATTTACCTCAACAGTCCACACCTGAGTCCCAGTTCAGAGACCACATCCGTCAGGAGGATCCGGTCTACGCAGGTGTGGTCCTTCGTAGACTTCATAGACCGTAATGAGACGGTCTGTTCTATGGACGATTTGGCTGGCTGCTGTTGCCTAGCAACCTCGACAACACATAACTTTTTTTCAACTAAAACTTTCAGTTTTAAGTATCTTGGTTTTAACAGTTGAACCATTGAGCTGTTTTGCTTTGTTTTGGTCAGTGGTGAATGTAGTTGGTGTTCGAGCTTCAGGCGCCACTGTTGGCGTCATGGTGACGGAGCTGATGGTTTAAGGTCAAAATAATGTGAACAGTTGAACTGATATTAGACACTTGGCTGACATCGTTTTTTTTCATGCTGACTCCGCCCACAGCAGCTCATCACTCAGCTTGTGTCCCGGTGCTCCTGCTGCTCCTGCTGCTCCTGCTGCTCCTCTCAACTGAATCTACACCAGGAAACACTGACTACAGATGAGTTACTGACTTTAGTTACTGACTTTAAATCAGTAACACACGTATAATACACTAATACACTAATAACCAGAACTATCACTTTAAGGAAATGTCTGACGAGCTGAGTGTCATTCCCTCTCTCAGTATCATGTGTAACTTTATAGATGAAGGAGTGATGATGATGATGATGATGATGATTGCTGCTACATGATTGGCTGATTGGAATAATCCCATGAATGAACAGGTGTGCAGATGTTCCTAGTGATCAGTGAGTGTATTTATTTATGACCCATCTGGTCTTCACCAGACTCGAAACACAGAATCAGAGTAAATTCTGAAGCTGAATGGACTGATTCAAAAACAGGATCCTACATCTCCCATGATGCAACAGTGTCTTTCCTCACAGCTTCCCTGTCTGATGGGTCACAGAGTCGGAAAACAAACATCCTGTGAAGTGATCTGGGAGCTGAGTGTGTGCAACCCTCACTCCTTCCTCCTCTTCCTCCTCTTCCTCCTCCTCCTCCTCCTCTGTTGCCTCCCCATCAGTCTGGAATCTGATTGGCTGAGAGGAGTGTGACTCCAGTTTGACCTTTGATCTCCCTTTTCAGTATCAGTCAGCTTCCCTCTGCTGGTTTGATTTAGTTCAGAGCGGGAACACACACACACACACACACACACACACACACTGGTGCAGCTGTGTGTCAGTAGTGTTCAGTTCGTCTCTCAGGTAAGTTGCTGCTCTCTCTCTCTCTGTTTATTAAACTCGTCTCCACGTGTCTGTAGCTGCCCTCATGAATCATGGGAAACTCTGCGGCTGCTGTTTGTTTCGTGGCTGCAGACACTGTGTGTTTAACTGTGACTGTTTGAATCATTGTCATGGTGAATGTGTGGACCGTGTCACTGGGTGAGCAGCTCTCATTTACAACTTTTTTGATACGTTTGATACAGAGAGACGAGCTTCATGTCTGATCAGTGTTCAGGTAAATGACTGTAGATCAGCTGCTGTCGTGCACCTGCTGCTGGACGTCGACAAACGTGCCGACGCGTTTGGTTTTTGGTGTTTGTATCAACATCTCTGCGTTAATAAAGTGTAGAGATATGATTTACATACTGTTGGAATCTGTCCACTCTTCACTTCTGAGTATTTATTCTCTGGAGGTTGTACGTGACTCACAGCTGGAGTCAGGAGGCTCGACAAACACGTCATTTATTACATGTTCATTTACTTCTTTATTCATATATTTCAGTACCTCTGTGAACCTTAGACTTTGTTGAAAAGGGATGTGAAGAATTTCACAAATGGAGCTTTGACCTTCCAGCCTCAGGGCAGATCATCTCTTCACACGGTGCTCAGGGGCAAATGGGTGCAGTTGAGATTTTGATGTAAAACACTTGGTATCATGTTTTATTCAAGAAGCTTTCAAAGGTGAATTTAATCTGTAAAATTCAGAAGGTTAAAGACAAACTGAAGTCTGAACTGATCTATTCAGACTGACCATGTGTTCAGCAGTGCAGCAGATGTGGTCTGTTGAGTCCTGGCAGGTTTATTCTAGTTTCAGTTGGAGATAAAACTCTGTGTATGTGGAGTGAGGACGAATCAGTTTCATTCAGACTTTATACTTCATTCATTTATTATTCATTTTACTTTTTCTCTCTCTCTCTCTCTCTCTTTCGCTCTCTCACAGTCATGCTATCCTCGGTCGTCCGCTCACTCCGTCTCGGGGCCTCTGGTTGCCAAGGAAGCAGGCGCTCCATAGCAACCATCATCTCCGGCAACAAGACGTCCAAGTGAGTCTGAGTCCATGTCCCAGTGTCTGTTTCACACAGTTCTTCTTCCCCCAGTCCAGGTTCTCCCAGTCCCTCCAGTCAGACCACACAGGATGGGACCAGGAACTAACATGGAGACCTTTTACATCGTTGACCTTTGACCTTTTTAAAACTGATCCTGGGTCTGTGTTTGTGCAGGTTAGTGAGGGAGAGGCTGAAGAACGAGGTGGAGGAGATGAGGAGTCAGTTCTCAGGGTTCAGACCCAGTCTAGTGGTCCTACAGGTGAGTCTGGTGGTCTTTACAGGTGAGTCCAAGGACCAGAACAAGTCCACCTTCTCCTGACTGTAACTAAACCAGTCTGAACCAGCTGTGTTCACTGCAGCTCCAAACCAAGACCCGCACCTGTCAGACCTGCATCTGTCAGACCTGCATCTGTCAGACCTGCACAAACTAAAACAGTGACATCATCACCCACTGATTCAAACCTCATCTGTGTCGACAGCTTTAAGCTTCTACATGTAGTTTCACTCGGTGGGGAGGGATAATCATCATCATTGTCGTCGTCGTCGTCGTCGTCGTCGTCATATCTGACCAACGAGTGTGGGGACGTGTTACTGTAATCAGCTCAGGCCTCTGTGGACTGACTTAACGAGACTCCACCCACGCTGAGGAGCTTTAACGAGCTGCCTCGTTAAGGCTGAGCCCGACAGGAGGAGATGATTATTCTTCCGTCAGTGCTTCCTTGTTTCACAGAGAAGCAGCTTCACAGCAGACGACTGACAGCTGTAACAGTCGACTGTCACATGACTCAGATGTGTGCTCACCTGTCACCTGACGTGTGTTCAACTGTGTTTCAGGTGGGAGACAGAGACGACTCCAACCTATACATCAGCACCAAACTGAAGGCTGCAGCTGAGGTGAGAGAACATCAACAGGTTCATCACATTCATCACATTCATCAGGTTCACCACATTCACCAGGTTCATCACATTCATCAGGTTCACCACATTCACCAGGTTCATCACATTCACCAGGTTCATCAGGTTCATCACATTCATCACATTCATCAGGTTCATCACATTCACCAGGTTCATCAGGTTCATCACATTCATCACATTCATCAGGTTCATCACATTCACCAGGTTCATCACATTCACCAGGCTCATCAGGTTCATCACATTCATCACGTTCATCAGGTTCATCACATTCACCAGGTTCATCACATTCACCAGGTTCATCAGGTTCATCACATTCATCACATTCATCAGGTTCATTACATTCATCACATTCATCAGGTTCATCACATTCATCACATTCATCAGGTTCATCAGGTTCATTACATTCATCACATTCATCAGGTTCATCACATTCACCAGGTTCATCAGGTTCATCACATTCATCACATTCATCAGGTTCATCACATTCACCAGGTTCATCAGGTTCATCACATTCACCACATTCATCACATTCACCACATTCATCAGGTTCATCGGGTTCACCACATTCATCAGGTTCATCACATTCACCAGGTTCATCAGGTTCATCAGGTTCATCACATTCACCACATTCATCACATTCATCATGTTCATCACATTCATCATGTTCATCAGGTTCATCAGATTCATCAAGTTCATCATGTTCATCACATTCATCATGTTCATCAGGTTCATCAGATTCATCAAGTTCATCATGTTCATCAGATTCATCAGGTTCACCAGGTTCATCTCATTCATCATGTCAGGGTTCAGGTCTTAGTGGGACACTCGGACTCTAGTTTATTCTGACTCAGTCTTGTCTTCTTGTCTGCAGATTGGAATCGATGCGAAACACGTGAGGCTACCGACCACGGTGACACAGGACGAGGTCGGTGACAAACTCGCCTCTTCAGTCTCTCCCACACCTGTGGAAGAGAGGAAACGCCCGGCTCTGACTGTTTCCTGTTTCCTGTCGTGCCCCAGGTCCTGCAGAGCATCAGGTCTGTCAACGAGAACCTGTCGGTCCACGGTCTGATCGTCCAGCTCCCTCTGGACTCTGTTCACCCCATCCCCACTGAGCTCATCACTAACGCCGTGTCTCCAGAGAAGGACGTGGACGGGTGAGTCCTGACAGGAGGTTCACAGCTCCCTGATCTGACCTTAAACAGTGAATGAATCATGTCTTCATGTAGAACTGTGTGTGTGTGTGTGTGTGTGTGTGTGTGTGTGTGTGTGTGTGTGTGTGTGTGTGTGTGTGTGTGTGTGTACAGTCTGAGTTGTATCAATGCAGGGAAGTTGTGTCGTGGTGATCTGAACGACTGTTTCATCCCCTGCACCCCTAATGGCTGCATGGAGCTCATCAGACAGACAGGTCACACACACACACACACACACATGCTCAGCTCTTTAAACCCTTTCTTCATGACTGACACATTTTTCTTCACACACAAACTTCATGTACATATTGTTGAACAAACATCCCTAAACTTTCCTTAGACACTGAACTCGACAGGCTTCATAGAGAATCCTCCTGTGGTTTCCTTCAGTATCAGTCAGTTCAGAATCCATCTACACGCTGCGCTGCACTGACACTCTGCAGCAGGAAACAGTTTAAAGGATTCAAGGATCAAGGATCACGTGACTCTGACATGTACAATGATCTCACTTGTGATTTCCTGTTCCTGTGCAGGTGTGTCTGTGGCAGGAAAACATGCAGTTGTGATTGGTCGCAGTAAAATCGTTGGAGCTCCGATGCACGACCTGCTGCTGTGGAACCATGCCACTGTGACCACCTGTCACTCCAAGACGCCAGACCTACCTGCACAGGTGACAACACCCGCCTGAATACTGATGAGGATGATGATGATGATCATGATGATGGTGATGTCAGAGCTTCTATTGAAAACTCTTTTCTGTCTGTGAGTTTAAAGAGACTGAAGGAGCTGAGATGATTGAGTCTCAGTGAGCTGATACAGTGATGACATCACACACACAGTGTTGTGTCAGAGTGAACTCAGAGTGAAACCAGAACTAGAACAGCAGGGAACCCACTGAGAGAACATACAGACGTTTCCTGTGTTCATGATGCATTTCCTGTCCACAGGTGAGCAGGGCTGATATCCTGGTGGTGGGGGCAGGTAGAGCAGAGATGGTGAGAGGAGAGTGGGTGAAGGAGGGAGCTGTGGTGATCGACTGTGGAATCAACTACGTACAAGGTACACACTGAGACTACACACTGATACACACTGATACACACTGATACACACTGAGACTACACACTGATACACACTGATACACACTGAGACTACACACTGATACACACTGATACACACTGAGACTACACACTGATACACACTGATATTACACACTGATACTACACACTGATACACACTGAGACTACACACTGATACACACTGATACACACTGATACTACACACTGATACACACTAATGCACACTGATGTTACACACTGATACTACACACTGATACACACTGATACTGCACACTGATACACACTGATATTACACACTGATACTACACACTAATACACACTGATACACACTGATACTACACACTGATACACACTGATACACACTGATGCACACTGATACTACACACTGATACACACTGAGACTACACACTGATACACACTGATACACACTGATGCACACTGATACTACACACTGATACACACTAATACACACTGATGTTACACACTGATACTACACACTGTGTGACCTTTGACCTCTGTGACAGATGAGACGAGGGCGAGTGGTAAACGGGTGGTTGGAGACGTCCACTACACCTCAGCCAATCAGAGAGCAGGATTCATTACACCTGTTCCAGGAGGGGTGGGGCCAATGACGGTGGCAATGCTCATGGAGGTAATTGTTGTTTTATTTTGTTTTTGTTTTTTGTTTTATTTTATTTTATTTTTTTTGTTTTCTTTTATTTTGTTTTTATTTGTTTTTGTTCTATTTTTAGTTGTTTTATTTAGTTTTTGTTTTATTTTATTTTGTATTGTTGTAACTTACTTTTTGAAATTAAAAGTATTTGAGAGAACAAATGAATTACATGAACCTGTTTGTGTTTGAATATGTAAAAACACATTTTCCGTGTGTACGTCATAAACTCCGCCCCCTCCATGTTAGAGTTATTTGATGTTATAAAACGGGAGGGTGGCGTCATGATTGACAGCTGAGATTGAGTCGAGCGAGTGTATGGGTGGGACCTTAATACCGTGGCCCCACCCCATGATCTGATTTTCCAGAACACGGTGCAGAGTGCTCGGCATTTCCTCCTGAAGAACCAGTCGATGAGGTGAAACAACAGGAAACACTCAGGTAAATAAAAAGAAAGAAAGATTACAAGAACAAAGTCTGTTTGTGTCACAGTTTCATTTCATTAACATGAGAGCTGAACACAGTTTCATAATCTTTCTCCTCCAGAACATTATGACTCTGAACCTCAGATGTTTTCTTCACAGTGGCTGGTGTTTGTTTGTTTGTTTACCTGCAGGCAGACAGGTGTGAACAGGTGTGAGGAGGAGGATGGACAGCTTCACAGATCCTGAATAATAATCCGGTTTTATTTCTTTTCGCCACTTTCCTTCTTTTTTGTTTCCTCTTCAGTAACTTTAGTTTTACAGTGTAACTCTAGTTTTACAGTGTAAATTTAGTTTTACAGTGTAACTTTAGTTTTACAGTGTAGCTCTGTAGTTTTACAGTGTAACTTTAGTTTTACAGTGTAGCTCTCTAGTTTTACAGTGTAACTCTAGTTTTACAGTGTAATTTTAGTTTTATAGTGTAGCTCTGTAGTTTTACAGTGTAACTTTAGTTTTACAGTGTAGCTCTCTAGTTTTACAGTGTAACTCTAGTTTTACAGTGTAATTTTAGTTTTATAGTGTAGCTCTGTAGTTTTACAGTGTAATTGTAGTTTTACAGTGTAGCTCTGTAGTTTTACAGTATAACTTTAGTTTTACAGTGTAGAATTGTAGTTTTAAAGTGTAACTTTAGTTTTACAGTGTAGCTCTGTAGTATTACAGTGTAATTTTAGTTTTATAGTGTAACTCTGTAGTTTTACAGTCTAACTTTAGTTTTACAGTGTTACTCTAGTTTTACAGTGTAACTTTAGTTTTACAGAGTAGCTCTGTAGTTTTACAGTGTAACTGTGTTTCATCAGCTGGATGAAGAAGTCTCTGCAACCTTTAGCCCCCACAGCAGCTTTGTTTGTACAGGGATCAGAGGTCATTGTCATGGAAATAGAGACCAGCATGAAGTGATGAATGTGATGTTTCTATTCTGTCATATTATCAATAAAATTTGATCTGGTCTCCAACAGTTGAACGTGGCTTTATTTACACACTGTCACATTTACAATGGCTGATCAATATTCAAATCATGTTATTGATTTTATGTGATCTGATCATCGTCATGCTGCTCTGACGCTGATTAAACACACATGATCTCCAGCTGTCAATCATCCAGCAGTGATTGAAAGCTGTGTGATGTCATCAGACACCGTCAGTCGTTAATGGAGTCTGTTTCTTCTTCTGTGGATTCAGCTGCTCTGACCTTTAAATGCATTTCCTCCTCTCTCTTCTTCTGTGGTTGACATGAAACAAACACAGGAAGTGACTCAACCCTCCCTCAGTAATGATTCTTTTGAATATAAAGCTATTATTATTATTATTATTATTATTATTATTGAATAGATGATTACAGATTACACCGAGCTGCAGACGAGGAACATGTCACATTTATTTTAGATCACATCACAGAAACTTTTTCAACATCAAATTAAAAAGGATCCAATCAGAGTCTGAGCTTAACACTTATTAATTAACCTTAATTAATGTGAATTAATTATTAAATAAATGAAAGAACAGAATACAAATCACATTTCAATTCATTCACTTCAATTCTTTTCAAATAATAAAACCATCTGTTTTTTTCATGAGACATTTTGCCCTTAGTTGTGTCTGTCAGGTGCATCCATTGTTTGTTTGTTTTTGTTTGTTTGTTTGTAAACACAGCATGTGTGTGTGAATCTCAGTCCAGTGTTCCCACTCTTTTTGCTCTGTGTTTGGTCTCTGGATGGAGGCTTCAGGCAGCTTTTATTCTGAAAACACTCTAGAAGCTGGAAGCTAACGAGGCTTAAGTCCCTCCCACAGCGACTGACTATCCAATCACAGCTTAGCAACTGTAGCTGGTCACAGCAGTGTGGAGAGACTGTGGCCAACATTGATATAAAATATTGACTACAGCAGCTGTAAACATCTGTATGACACATGTGGGTGGGCGGAGCTCCAGCTGCCTGTGAGGCATACCCGGGTCGTCAGGCATGGTCTCGGCATCCCTGCGGTTCTCTATGGACCCGGTCTGAGCCACTCCGCTCTTCTCTGGTCAGCTGATCCACAGCAGCGTTCATGGCGGCTCGGACCAGAGAGTGAGCCGTCTGAAGCAGCTGCCGCTTGCTGTGGTTGACGCCGAGTAGGAGGAGGAGGTGGTTCTGGTTCTCCGAGGAGGAGCTTCCCTCCCAGAACTCCTCCTCCTCCTCTTCATCCAGAATAGGGCGTCGTCTGGAGGAACCAGCTCGATCCAGATCGAGGGTCCGTTCACTGACGGTTGAAGAGACAGGCTTAGATCTGGAGACACAATCTCGACTGAACCTTTGACAGGAAGCTCATCTGTGTCTTCAGCGCCTACAACAGCCTCCGTCAGGACAGCGTCTGATCCGTCAGCGGTCAGTTCCTCCTCTGCTGGAGTTCGGTCCTTGGTCCGCTGGACATCTCTTTGGACCTCTGGACTCTGATCGGTCCCGTCGCTCTGGGGGTTATCAGGTGAACAAGGCGCCTCCTGTGGCCTAATCACATCCTTCACACCTGATGATCCGCTTCTCCCGCCTCTGGCGAAGAGGCGCCTCAGTCTTTTTCTGATGGTCAGCGAAGGTTGGAGGTTCGAGGAAGTCCTGACACTCAGGTGAGACCATCTGTCTTCAGAGACGACGTCCTCCTCCCTTTGTCTCCTGACACAAGCGACCACAGAGGAGAACCTCCTCCGCCACCTGCGTCTGTTCACCTTCCTGTCTCTGATGTCATCGACCTCACCTGTGACCTCACAGCGCCCCCTGCAGCTCTCCACATTTACTCCAGCCAAACCTTCATCCTCCATGTCGGGACTTCCTGTCGGTGCAGCGTCTTCAGGTCTGTCCTCCCCCACGCTCCTGGTCCAGGTTTTTCTCAGAGGACCCGTCAGCTTCCTCTTCAAACCGACTCTCTCTGCTCGCCGGATGTCCTCTCCATCCTCCATCACCATGGCCCGCCTCCACAGTGACACTCACTGGTTCTCTGCTGCTGAGACCAGAGACCAGGAAGCAGATTAAACTCGGACCTGCTCAAAGAGTCTGTGTTCATGATAAAACACTGTTTTATTTTTATCTTTCTTTTTAACTAAAAATACAAACACAACAAACGTCAAGACCGGACGACTTCACCTGAGGGGGTGTGTCCTGACACAGTTTTTGTTTCTATAGCGATGGAAGATAAAAATACATTGATCCGTCCCTAAGCAACAGAAGATCCACCAATCAGATCACATTAGCATTAGCTGATGTTTACTCACCTGTCTAGAAGAAACATTGAGTTCAGTAACGTCTCCAGCGTTGACGCTAACCAGTGGGCATGGTCTCATCTAAACTGGGTATACCGCGCTACAGTGATCGCCATCGCCTCTTGAGGTACAAAGTGGTATTACGAGGCTAGTTGGTTAGCATGCTAACACAGCAGATACCAATGCATATTTTTATTCATCTGTTGCAGCCATTTTGTTTTTAGTCCATACTTCGTGGACATGATATCTCAGTAACACCTCAACGGAACTTCTTCAAATTTGGCACAAACATTCACCTGGACTCAAGGATGAACTGATTAGAGTTTTTTGGGGATCAAAGGTCAAAGGTCAAGGTCAGTGTGACCTCACAAAACTCTTTTTACCTTTTACTCAAAACTTCACACAAATGGTAAAATAAAAAATATTTTCTGACTCTGATAAGCAGGATGTGACTGATGACTGATTACAGTTGTCATGTAACTATGACGACAAAGTAGTGAAACTCACTGGTGTTTGTACAATTTTATTGTTGTGATTTAATATAAACACAAGAAAAAAGTCATTCATCAGGATTTGAACCCACAACTTCTCTATTACTGAACATCAGACTCGAACAGTCAATCATCATCTGTTTTTCACATTCACACAGATGAATCATCAAACACATGAACAAACCTCATCTGCCCCTCAACAAAAAACCTCCAAAAGCTTCAAACATCAAACAGAAAAAATCTCAGATTTGAAATATTTTAATTAAAACATCTTAATAAAAAAAAACACTTAAAAAAACACTCAACACTCAAAAACATTCAAATGTGAATTAGATTTTTTTTTCAAGTTGTAATGTTATGAGAAAAAGATCATAATATTACAGGAATGAATTTTGTTAACAATATTATACCCTTTTTATCTTAATTCAACAATATCATTAATGAATATTCCACTTTTTCTTTGTTCAGGGAACAAAACTACATTTATGATTTCAAAAAAAAATCTGAGATTTCAAGCTGTAATAACATAACTGATGTTGTGATCAGGTCAAAATCTAAATAAATAAAAAGTCACAGTATGAGAATAAGTATTTATCATAACATTGTGTCACTTTTATTTTAAATATGTGACTTATTCTCTATTTCTGGTTCAAAAAGACATTAATATTCAGACTGCTGTCAGTTCTCAGTGTGGATGCTCAGTTTCCCAGGTCGCCCCTCTCTCTCTCTCTCTCTCTCTCTCTCTCTGCTGACACGTGCAGGTCGGGGTCTGTAACTGAAGAAATGCTATGGTGCAAGTGAAGTCACTGTCAAACAATGGTTTCATGTGGAAGGAAACACAGACAGATTTGTCAGAGAGCTTCAAGTTTCTGTTTCCTAACCAGAATTTATTTGTTTGATTATTTTGAGTTTGAACCGGTTTGTAAATAAATGATTTTGATGTTTAAAGCTGCTCATTTGTTCTACACTCAAACACAACAGGTCAATCATTCATTCATTCCAGTCAAGAAGTTGCGCTCTGATTGGTGGAAAAAGACATTTATTTACAAAACTTTACTGTCCATCTATGAAAAAACAGACGTCTATGTACAAACATGTCAACACAAAACTTCCTGTTGTGTTTTTTGTTTTACAGTGAAACACGGAGAGAAAACGACGTCACAACTGAACAATCAGACATTCATCAATCAATAATCAATAACATCTCAACTGTGAAATCATTATCAATGTGACAACAGAAAGAAACAGCAGAGAACTTTCTGCTAAACTTATAGGACCATAAGGACCATTTCCTGTGACTCCTTCAAAATAAAGTGATGTCTATTCAAACAAAGGCTCAGACTGGTTTACTGAAGGGTTGCAGTTGAGTCCTGACAGGATTCTGTATTTCACAAGAAAAGTCTAATTCATAGCTGACGTCTGAGGGACCGTAGCACCCGTCTCTCAGATCAGGACTGTTTCCTCTCCAGTCGACTCCTAGATGTTTTCAAACTGCACCTGCTCTTAAAAACAGTGTATGGTCCTTTAAAGGAACTGTGCTTCAAAAGAAAACTGACTCTGTGGTAAATGACAGGATTTTCACACTAAAAGCACAAGTTCAGCAGTGCAGAGTGAGACTCTTAATCTGAAGGAGGCCAGGAAACATCAGAGGACAGGAAGTGAACAGGAAAACCAAACATGGTGGTGTGGTCTGCAGCGTCTGTGAGCTGCTTCGTGCTGCTCGTCTTTCATGCCGCCTCACAAACTACTCACTCTGCGTTTGGTCTGACGCCACTGATGGAGTTACAGCGAGAATCAGCCAATCAGAACTTCTTCTCTCTGACTGACAGGTTCTGGATGGACGTTGATTTCTGCTTTGGAACATCAGATTACAAAATGCTGGTGGACTTCATCAGAGTGACTGATCTCTCAGATTGTCTCAAAGAGGAGGTGAGGCTGTGAGTTCAACAACACCATCAAACCATCAAACTGTCAAACCATCAAACCGTCAAACAGTCAAACCGTTAAACAGTCAAACCGTTAAACAGTCAAACCATCAAACTGTGAAACAGTCAAACTGTTACACAGTCAAACCGTCAAACAGTCAAACCGTTAAACAGTCAAACAGTCAAACCGTCAAACAGTCAAACAGTCAAACCGTCAAACTGTGAAACAGTCAAACCGTCAAACAGTCAAACCGTTAAACAGTCAAACTGTCAAACCGTCAAACTGTCAAACCGTCAAACCGTCAAACAGTCAAACCGTCAAACAGTCAAACCATCAAACTGTGAAACAGTCAAACCGTCAAACTGTGAAACAGTCAAACCGTCAAACAGTCAAACCGTTAAACAGTCAAACTGTCAAACCGTCAAACAGTCAAACCATCAAACTGTCGAACCATCAGAGACACTGCTGCTTGTCTCAGTCGACGTCACACTGATGTTTTCCATTAAAAGAAAGGTCCCTCACTGTAATACGTCCTCAGAGTCTCAGTGTTTGAGTTGGACATGTCCCAGGAGTCTCTGTGTGGACATCTAAAGTCTCTGCTGGTTCATGTCCTCAGACACAAACAGACCAAGACCCCATCAACCATCAGAGGGACAATTCATCTGATCGTCTTCTCCATTCATCAGGTCTATTTAGAAAACAGTGAAAACTGTCCATCAAAGTGACGTCTTCACGTCCTCACATCTTATCGTCCTCACATCTTATCATCCTAACGTCCTCACGTCTTCACGTCTTGTCCGACCCTCACAGACTCAGACTCAGTGAATCCTGGAGAATTTAGTCTTTTGCAGCTGATGACCACAGCACCACATGATTTAACACACACACAGGTACAGAACCAGCAGCAGAGACAGAAACAGAACCACAACACAGATGTCAGAGTCAGAGAGAACAGGTGCGTCTCCTCACCACCTGTGTGTCAGTCATGCCACCTTGTGGTAAAACATCTCTCTGTGACATCAGTTCATGACATCACTCCACAGGCACGCCATCCACACTTTCCTGGGAGATCTCAGAGTCCAGAGAGTAGCAGGAGCTGCCGTTGTCTTGAGTGTCCCTGTTGGCCTCTTCAGAGAGTGCAGCAGCGGTGCCGGCTGAGGCCCCACCCCCTCCGCCGGCTTCTGCGGCGCCCTCACAGAAGTGGGCGGAGGCCTGGAAGAGCTGGCTGCAGAGGCGGTTGTAGCGGTGGTAGCGGGACGGTTTGCCGGTGTGGGTGTACATGTGCTCCTGCAGCTGGCTCTTGTGGGAGAAGCGCAGGCTGCAGACGGCGCAGGCAATCTTACGTTTACGCGAGTGTAAGACGGCGGGGGCGGGGCTGCTCCCCCCTCCTCCTCCTCCTCCGCCCCGACTCCGCCTCAGCTCAGCGGCCAGTTGATTGGCCAGCACCTGGCTCTGCCGCAGCGCCTCCTCCAGACATCCTGCGTCCAGCTGCTCCTGGCTGCCAGGTGGCCCCTCCTCCGTGCCGGCGTGCAGCTCTCTGCTGTCCATCAGGCGGGAGGGGTCAAGGGCATGGCTGAACAGGTGCTCCCGCAGGCCCTCAGGGGAGGAGCAGCGCTCCCCGCAGCGGGGACACAGCAGGACCAGTGGGCGGTCTTTAAAGAGGAGACTCTGACTGGGACTGCTGCCCTGCGCTGGAGACAGAGACCCCGCCCCCGGACACTCCTCCCCCTCACCGTCCTCCCCCTCCTCCTCCTCCACCCGCTCCTGCTTGATGCGAGCCGAGATGTCCGAGTCGTCTCCGGACGCCACAGAGCAGACATTGCGCAGCGCTGAGGCCTGACAGTCTGATGGGACCCCCTCCAGTCCGACGGTGAGGGACAGCTGCGAGTGGGACCGCCCCCCCCGGCCGGAGGAGCGCCCATCCTCGGGGGCGCCGCGGGACATGGTGGTGGTCTTGGGGACACCAGGCCCCTCCTTGTTGGCCAGCTGAGAGGAGATCTGGATGCCGTAGAGGTTGGACATGCGGACCACGTCGGTGGTTGCGTCGGCGGCGCCCTCATCCGGTTTGCGGCACAGCTGGTAGGCATGGAGGAACTTGATGCCGTCCTGTAGCCGGCTCTGGTCCACCGGCTGTTTGGGACACAGGCCAGTGTACATGATGTGCAGCAGGTAGCTGAAGACGTCCGGCTGGATGTCTGTGGGCTGGATCTTTATGCACTCACTGAGGACAGACACAAGAGACAGTCAGGACCTGGACGCAGGGACACGTCACTGGTTCAGATTGAGAAAAGCAGCGACTGACCTGGACTGATGGATGAAGATCATTTTGAAGTAGTTGGAGAAGGCAGCCAGCACTGCGCGATGAGCTTTGAAGTAGACGTTGCCGATGGCAACAGTGCAGTCGCACAGGAAGCCAAACTCTCTCTGAACGTTGAGCTGCTGCAGCAGGAAGAGGCTGTGAGACGACACCTCCATGACCCCCCTGAAAGACAGGCACATCAACCAGAGACCAGAAACCAGGTCCAACACAGAGAGGAACAACATGAGTCTACTTTAGAAATAAATAAATATAAACAAATACAAATAAAATTTGGTCTGAAATAAAAAGGGTTAATTTTCATGTTGTGTTTCCTCCTCAGTGTTTGTACTGTAACTTACTCTTTAATTTCAATCAATATTAATATTTGGAGTAATATTGAATCTGATCAAACGTGAAGCTGTTGATTCTCTGAACAGGTGACAGGTTTGATTCTGTAAAACAATAATAATTGTTGATTTCTGTTCTGCTCTCATTCAATCAACACAAAAATATTTAATCAATATTGTCTCGACTTCATAAATAAACATATTTATATATATATATATATATATATATATATATTTATATATAGGTATAATATATATACAGCACATATATGCATATATATACTGTATATATATAAATATTCATATTTCACTTCTCTCAGTAAAGTTTCACAATGATTTTAAAATTCATGTAATATATCAATGAGTATAAACGACCGATCGATCAGTGAAGGTGTTCTAACGTCGTTCTATCAGGAAGTCAAACATGTTGTTTCATTTTAGCAGCTGGAACCAGAGACCTAAGATTCCTCTTCTGTCAATTATCTGATTGATTCTGGATCAGTCAGCTGATTGATCCCTGATGATGTCAGTCCTGCCCCTCAGCAGGTGAGCCAGGTCCTGTTAGACAGCAGCTGACAGCAGATGTCTCCATCAAAGCTCAGCTCACCTCCAATCTGTGCTCAGGTGTAATGACGTCACACCCAGAACATCTGGACAGATGAGCAGGTGACCTCTGACCTCAGTGAAGGTCACGTAAAGCAGCACCTGCCATACACACACACACACACCACCCGCCCTCTTGCACTGTGTGTGTGTGTGTGTGTGTGTGTGTGTTGGGGGGGGGGGGGGGGGGCTCCGGTGTCTTCAGAGTCTGACAAACCGGCCCTTATCCAAACACACCGGAAACTGGACACCCCGCGCGACCAAACAAACAACACCACGACTCGGCGCGTGCACATTCTTGTCGCGCGCATCAGGCTGCAGCCTCCTCCATCCTCTGTCTCCTCCACATACAGCCACACGCACGTCCTCATTCAACCTACACGCGCACACACGGGCGCGTGCGCACGCCCTCTACACACCCTCTGTCTTGTGTGCGCCGTGCACGCGCAGCGTGCCCGCCGCCGTTAATCAGACTTACCGCAGAAATGTAGCAGATTGTCTCAGGACCGGAGCCGATTTGTTGCTGCAGAGGTGATCTCGCAAAAAGCCGCGTCACATCTCGCGAGAGGAAGGGTCAAAGGGGCTGGTCACGTGATCCAACTGTGTTACCTACCGACATGTAATCAATAATCAATAACGGATTTATTAAGACGCGTCAGAGCGTCACGGAGCTGAAACACGGTGACTTTCATTTATTAAAATGATGTTTAATTAGATAAAAATCTAAATAATGATAATTATTATTATTTACTTTTGTTATAAAAAGACAAAACATCATAAACACTTGATAATGTCATGATCAGGTTCTAACACATGATGATGTCATCAGAGTTCAACAGTGGAGCCGGTTTAATCATCATGTTGTGATGTCACTGTGTTTACATGTGTAATAATCAATCGATCAAGTTTGTTATTGTCTTTGTATTGTAGTTATTGTTTGGTTCGTATTGATGTATCTCTCTCTCTCAATTCAAATTCAAATAAGCTTTAATGGCATGACCGATCAGAAACCTATATTGCCAAAGCAGTACAGAAAATTTTAAACATTGATAAATGATTGATTAATGATTATACAATAATATTAAATACAATATAATAAAAGGCCTTTTTTACAGATGTAATCACACAGAAACATGTACTACAGAACTTGTTTCTCTCAGATTATGAAGCGATTTGACATATTTTGCAGCTGTTACTGCACCTTGACTTTTCTCCCCATAGATAGGACAGTTTTTCTGAAGATCGGGGAGGTGGATAAACTCAGGATATATATAATATATTTTTTCAAAGAAAACTTCTCTCAAATCCTTATATTTGTCACAATATAACAGGAAGTGAGATTCTGTCTCAGCTTCTCTTTCATGACAAAGTGAACACAGCCTGGCCTCCCTGGGGAGCCTGTTCTGCCTAATTTACTTTCCAATATTTGATCTAATTTTCTCTATGTTTTGAGATGATTTGGCTGGACCAGATTGTTTTTGGTGTGTGTGGGCGGAGCTTCAGCAGCAGCTGGCAGAGGGGACTCTGATATCTCTCTGACTCTCATAGTATGTCTAATGAGACAAGTTGATGACGTAATGAAACCACCTTATGTAGTTTGTTGTTAGGTCAGGGAAACCGTTTTCCAGTAGTGATAATAACTTTAAAGATGTTTGGTTCACCTGGAAGTCACAGACAAAACAATAATAATAATGTCTGTTTACGTCATCAAATCATCTCTTCAAACAGGAACCACGATGTTTTTACATCTGAACACACAAACTGAAATAATGAAACAGAGTGAGAGGTCGCTGCTTCATCACGTCTCTGATTCGAGTCTTTTGGTTCCTGAAAATCAGCTCAGCGTGAGACCTCACTTGTTCCTCGTCTCTGATGGATCCGGTTGGCACGCGGCCTCGATTCACCCCAAGTTAGACTTAAAATAACATACTTCCTGTTAAGATTTTCAAAATAATGGTCATATTTGTATATAGTTGGTGAGATATAGCATTTTAAATATTTCCTTTCCAATTGTGGTTTCATGTTGTAATGTATGTAAATACTGGATGGTTTCAGACTTGTTTCATTAAACAAACAACCATTAATAAAATAGCAAATAACAAAGCTTTTATTTTTGAGGAAACTGTCCAAAACGTAATTATCAGGTCAGAAACAACTAAAGAAAAACAATTTTTGGAGAAATCAACTCATGAAACAACTCTCTATCTTAATGAATCTTCAGTTTACTGTATTTTGGGGGTTTTGTTTTGGTGGAGTGAATTTATATGTGGATGTTTATATGTACTTAAACAATTGTGTGTGTATTTTCTACATATTACTGTTTTGATAGTGACAAGTTATCTGTTCAATCGCAGGTTAGTAATAAAATAATAAAACACAAACAGACAACATGATTTAGCTTTTTACCAGTGAGTGAAATGAAATCAGTCTGTTCTTTCTACGACTGTTCTGTTTCTCTGTCTTTATCTTTTAATTCTTCGGAAAATAAACTATACTTCTATAAATCTTTTCAAATAGGCTGTTCCAGATCAACATTATTTTGAAGGCCAGTATTTGACCGGAAGTCCCATTTTCTTCTTCTTCGGATTTCCTTACTGTGTATGGTTTGACGGAGCGGCAGTCTGTGCGGAAGTTCTTTCATCCTGCAGGAGGAGAAGAAGAAGAGACTTCTCCTTCGTCTCCCCGCCTGAACACAACAAACCTCCGGACAGGAGCCTCCGGGGCCCCGGGAACATTCACACACTCGCCGCCGACTGCAGCAGCTCCTCTGCCAGCCTCCAGAACCCACGGTGAGTCGACGAATTTCTGTCCGGCCCTTGGAACCGTCTGGCCGAGGAAACTAAAAAACATCCCCGCGGCCTGCTGCTGTCGGTGCTAGCTGAATGCGGGCGGCAGTGCGGGGGTGGCGGGGCTGTTTGCGGGAGAGCAATCGTTGAGTGCCGTCGATATACTGTATTCAAATATACTACATCCGGCCCGGTCTTTCAAAATAAAAGATACTCTAATGAATGAACGGGTTCACGCATTTTGAGAGGCTTTAGTTGAATGAAGTTATCTTATTAACGGTCTGATTCTTATCTAAATAAACTGTCATTTACTTTGTGTCTGTGTGAACACGCCGTACAACCCCATTCCAATTATTTCAGTACTCGTCATGTTTTTCCTGTTTTATTTTGGAGGTGTACTCGCTTTAACTTCCGGTGTGGTCGAGGCTAACAGCAGCTAGTTTAGCGCAGCTAACCGCCGCGGAGCTGTGATCTCCATTTTAGCTCGTCGGTGCGGCCTCTCCCTAGCCAGTCTCCTTTCCTCAGTGGTCATACTCACCGCTTCTCTCCGGCCTCTGTCGGGCCTCTAACGGCGGGTTTCTCGGTGATTGACAGCCGATGAATGCGTGAGTGTGCGTGTGTGTGTCCCCCCCCACCCGCATGTCCGCGGCAGCCCTGCTGCGGGGGCGGGCGGTGAGCTGACGGTAAACCGACTCACCGTGACTGGAACAACTTGTTTCACACAGAATCACAGTGACTGTCAACGTGAACCTGAGGAACTTTCTGCAGAAACGTTCAAGTGAAAAGTTTAAAGTTGTGTTAAAGGGTGCTTCATGGAGCTGGAGCCATCAGTCAGTCGCACCAGCCTCACAGTCCATGAACTGGGTCATGTAGTTTTTACAGGAAAAGCTTCTTAATGATGAAAACTGATTTTAATCCATAACTCTAACTTTTTTCTGAAAATCATGGATCTGTATTGAAATGAGGAGATGGAGATGACTGACAGCTGCCATGAGAGGTCATAGGTCACAGGTAGAAACTGCTCTGTATAAAAGGTCACGAACATGAAGTGTGGTGGCAGCTGTCGGCCATATTCTGACGTTTTAATGACCGAAGGATTCATAGAGAAAACAATGGTCAGATCAGTTGATAACAGTGACGTCACAAGAATCGGCACTTCGACAATTAAAAAAAAAAATGCCTTAAAATGCAGTGGAGCAAGTAACTGACAACAGGCAAAGGACAAAAGTTCATTTCAGGCAAGCAGCGCTTCCCTTTATCCACCAAGTGTTTGAGAGAACTCAGCTTAAAACTCAGTCATCTTCTTGTGTGTGTCAGCCTTCCTGTGCTCTCTCTGGATGGACAGTTCCTGGACCAAAATTCTGACGGGTCTTGTTTTTCTACAGAACCGCAGGTGGTGGGTCATCAGGGACCAGGTCTAGACGACATGAAGTCAGTTTGTAAACAGTGTCAGAGGAGGAAACGGCTCAGGCTATGTCCACACTTTTCAAACTAAAACAATCTCCGTCCACACAAACACACCTGTAAACACACACACATACACACACACCTGAGCAGTCACATTCACTGAGCATGTGCGAGCCGCTGTAAACAGGAAGTAGATCGTCTCCTCTGCAGTAAATCCTCTGAAGGAGGAACAGCAGAGACAGTTGTAGCTTTAAAACAGAGAATGTAAGTGAACAACAGCTGCTAGAGTGAGCTAGGCTAGGCTGAGGGAGTTTCAGTTGTTCTGCAAGAATATCATTATTTAAACAGTTAAATAAATACTTTAAATAAATACTTTTTTAAAATAAAATACTAGAGGAAGATGTAGAGACCAGAACTAGAACGATCAGTAAATAGCGATGCTGAAAGAGTGATGATCATCCTGATAATCAATATGAATTTAGCTGAGAACAGATGGTGTATGAACAGGTATCTGCTGGGCTGAGAGGAAATGACACGTTGCCAACTAATTTTCTTACAATGGATTAATCAACACATGGTTTCAGTTCTACTTGTTTTTACTGCTGGGTAGTGAAGGGGCTCAGGTTTGTCAGGTCCAAACACATGCAGATCAGGTGAACTGGAAACAAAATGACTGGTCAGGGTCCTGGGCTCCAGCAACACGATGTATGAATGATGGGACTGATGTTGTTTTTCATATAGATCGTAGGTGACGGCTACGTTGGATATCAGTTCACACCTTATCAAATCTGTGCAGCTGAGTGGTTTCGGTGTTCTGCAGGATGTCTCACTCTGTCATTCATCTCTTCCTCCATCACCCCATCTGTAGCTCATCATGTAGTTTCACAATGCGTTGGCAGTCGTGTTTTGTGATGAGATTAAAAACTAATCTGTTTCAGCCTGAGATTTGTGCTATGAATTTTGTGTAATGATTGAACAAGTCTCTTTTGTCAAATCAAACTTTTATGTTGGTGTAAAATTTTGATATAAAATCATTTACATAAAAACAGCAAACTTCAGATATATGGACAGAATGATGAAAGATATTTAAAGGGACCCAGAAGAGAGAAAAACTGTTTGTTGTGGCCCGTCTGAAAACCCTTGGTGTGTAAAGAGTTGGACTGAGTATTGAGAAATCCCCTGACCTCTGAGGTAATCTGTGATGATAACGTTTGATGAGTCAGTTCTCGTCATTATTCAGGTCTGATCTTGATGAGTCATAACGGGACTGAGAGCTGGCTCTGCCTCGCTGAGCACAACCAGACAAACGTTGTGAAATACTCTGCAGCATAATAAGTCGACCACAGAGAGACCTCACAGCAGAAGGAATGCAGCCGTTTAATGTGTCTCTTCATGGTTTCCTCTTGTTGTCTGCAGGGCGATGGCGAGGCCGAGCCACAGCGATCACGTCCTCCAGCAGCTCAACAACCAGCGGGAGTGGGGCTTCCTGTGCGACTGCCTCATCGCTATCGGTGACATTTACTTCAGGGCGCACAAGGCCGTGCTGGCGGCCTGCAGCTCCTACTTCAGGATGATGTTCATCCGGGACCAGCAGGGGGCGGGCCGTCTGGACCTCAGCAACATGCAGATCAGCGCAGAGTGTTTTGACCTCATTCTGCAGCTCATGTACCTCGGACGCATTGTCGTGGGGAGCTACGAGTTTGACGAGCTCAAGGCCTCCATGGCGTACCTGCAGATGTACTATATCCCCGACTCACTGGAGGATCTCAGGGACATCAGGAGCTCCAACCTCACCCCGTCCTCCTCAGCCTCGTCCTCATCCTCATCCAGTTCCTCCACTGGCCCCGCCGGCGGGAAAATGATGTTTGGAGTACGCATGTACGAGCAGCAGAGGCCCGCTGCACCGGAAGTGGAGCGTTTACCGAAACCTGTCAACAGCAGCGCCGCACGTCCAGCTGCTCCAGCAACGGTCACTAGGCCGGCAGTGGCTGAGGAGGTGGTGAACACCCCTCTGATGGTGGCGCCACCAGCTGTGGACGGAGCGGCGGAGCAGCCGTGTGACTTGAGAAAGAGGTCCAGCGGCAGAAGTTCAACTCTTAAAGACCGCCCTCGGTTCGGCCGAACCTACACCTGTGATGACTGCGGCTTTGTCTTCAGCTGCGAGAAGCTTTTAATCGAGCACATCCTGACCTGCACTAACCGGAAGGCCTATCATCCTCCAAGAGGTAACGCCGAAGGCGACAACGACTCGAGTAAAGCTGAGAGCTCTGCATCCGAGAGCACAGAGGAACACAGGGTCCTCTGTAAAGGCGAGGACGACTGGCCTGAGCCCAAGGCCGACTCTGACCTCACCATCAGGTCGGTGGCAGCCGGGACAGATGGCGAGCCCGGGTCGACTAGAAGCATCTCCATCAAGACAGAACCAGAAGAAAGCATGTTCCCTGAGATCGAGGTGGTCCGGGTCGGCGAGCACACCGCCAGAGACTGTAGCACACGGTTCAGTGACGTCACACGGAAAGACTTGCTGAAGGAGAAAAAGTCATCGGACCGTGAACCAGAGCCCGGTGTCTCAGGTTTGGAGAACAGCAGCGAGCCTTTTGAAAGCCACATGTCCAGCAGCGATGATTCAGGGATTCCTGCGAAGCTTCGTAAAGTCAAAGACGAGAAGCAGGACACCGACTGTGCCCCTTGTGAACTGTGTGGTGCTCTGTTAACGGAGGAGGACAAGTCAGCCCACTACCTGTCCAACCACATGGGTCATATATGTGCCTGTGGACGGTGTGGCCAGGTGTTGATCAAAGGCCGGCAGCTCCAGGAACATGCAGAACGCTGTGGAGAATCTCATGGCGGTGAGTCGGACTCCCACGGGGAGGACGAGGTGTCCCTGCTGGAGGAGCCGCAGGGGATGGAGGAGGGCCTGCTGGAGGCCGCCGACCTGGCCTGCCCTCACTGCGGTCTGCTCTTCCAGAACGAGAGCCTGGCGCTGGAGCATGCCTTGTCCTGCCACGACCAGGAGCTGTTCCGCCCGGTGCTGCTAGAGGAGGGCGCCGAACCAGATCATCGCCGCAAACACTTCTGCAGCATCTGCGGCAAAGGCTTCTACCAGCGCTGCCACCTGCGGGAACACTACACCGTCCACACCAAGGAGAAGCAGTTCACCTGCCAGACCTGCGGGAAGCAGTTCCTGCGTGAACGTCAGCTCAGGCTGCACACCGACATGCACAAAGGCATGGCGCGCTACGTGTGCCCGGTCTGCGACCAGGGAACCTTCCTCAAACACGACCACGTTCGACACATGATCTCCCACCTGTCTGCTGGGGAAACCATCTGCCAGGTGTGTTTCCAGATCTTCCCAGGTGGAGAGCAGCTGGAGAAACACATGGACGTCCACCTGTACATCTGCGGCGTCTGTGGAGAGAAGTTCCGCCTCCGTAAAGACATGAGGAGCCACTATAACTCCAAACACACCAAGAGATTATAGGAAGGACCCAAAACATCTGCATTTATACTAGTTTGTTACTTAAAAAGCCATAAATGTGAGAACAAATGTATGCACTTGAACCCCAAAAAGACAACTTTTTAATCTGCACTTTTAAGTATATGCATAACCTAAACGGGCGTTCATACTGCGAGCAGCAGGCTGGTGATTGGTCGCTGGGTAACGGCTCTGTGTATCAGTCTACAGCTTCTTGCTTTGATAAGGTGACATTAAGTTAATACAGCTCAGAAAAACACGTATCACATTTTCACAGCTTTGAATTAGGATTTTATGAGACATCTCCTTGTCTTGTTTGTCAGCATCAATGTCTGTAGATGAAACAATCACAAAAGGCGGTAAACGATCAAGTTTAGAAACCTGGCCGGCTGTTGTCACAGGTGGTGTTAGACACCCATCATAGCTAACCAGCTTAATAGCTAACGAGTTGTATATTATTATTTAGAATATTTATAAAGATCTGGGGTTTTTTATACAGGTGATAAATGTGATATTTAGATGTCAGGAAATTTGGAATCACACAGGAACAGAGCTTTAGTTCCCTCCGTCCAAAATGATTCTTAAAGCTGTAAAAACCCAAAGAAATAAAACGAGCAAAGGGAGAGAGCAGATCCTCACACTGGAGGAGTTTGAACCATTATTGCTCATCTGTGAATCGACAAATCATTTTAGCACTAGAATGTACCAAAGTCATGTTGGTGGGTGGAGAGAGATGGACTCCCATCATGCCTCTCCACCCGACTGGTTTGTGATTGTGTTGCTCGCAGTGTGAACTCGCGGTCAGACGGGAAGTTCACTCCAAAACAAACACGGACCTACGCTCCTGATCCTGTGACAGTCTGACCACCGCACGGTGATGGAGGAAGAAGATGGAGGACGTGGTGATAAAAGTCAAAGCTGGCACAATCCCTGATGGAATTAACCAAAGTTGTGACATTAAACACAGGGGTTACTGTAGTTACCAAGGGTTGCCCAGAAGCTTAAAAAACAAGAAACAATGGCCATAAAACAGAAGCAATAACGAGAGAAGAAGAACGGTTAACAAACAGGCATGAAAGGAGCTAAAGCTAACGTTAGCATTACAAGAAAAAAGACATGACAGTATAGACACAGCTCACACCTGTGTGGGTATCTGTCGTGATCACATGATGAATTCATAATCTGCTGTCTTCAGATCTGATCAACATTGTTTTGTTTACAAACAAGCAGCCAAGGGAGGAAACAAAAATGTAAAATCAAACGTCCCCAACTCACAAGTGTGTGAAACATGTTTTTCCATGGTCAAGGTAATGTGATGTAAGTGCCCTCCCATTCCTCTTTATACCAGTCTGAGCCCTGCAGCCTCTCGATCACTGACCAGGTGAGTCAGTCAGGTCTGTGAGGGTTCAGGACTTAGGCCTGGGGGGGGGGGGTTTGTTTTGGAGTGAACTGTCCGTGGAAGACTTTCTCAGTGTTTCAGAGGGGCCGCGAGCTCGACCTTCTCTTTGATGTCCCAGAATACTAAAGGAGGTTTCATGTCGTCAGCAGAGTGTGACCTCAGCTTCCTGATGCTTTGTTCTGTGAGTCCTTCCCTTTACGTTTACTCACCGTCCAACATGCTCTGTGATCGGTGCCTTTACTGTAACAGTGGTGCACACTAGCAGCAGTGCACGTCTCAGTCTTTTTCTCTTCACACCGATGCTTGATGGGGGATGGACAGGCAGATAACGACCCCCCCCCCCCCCCCGCTTTCAAGGTGAATCTGTGAACGGCAGATTATGAAAAGTTCAACAACAAAACACTAGAGTTGGTGTGTTGGCACTGAGCTGCCAGACTGAGTTGTTGACGTCATGCTCGGACTTGTTCTGATGCCTTATCGAGTCGTGAAGTGGTTTTCACTGCAGTTGTGTTCTGGTGTCACAACGTCACACCACAGATGATCAGAACAACTTCAAACCAGGTCCAGCTGTTCACAAAAACCAAAACCATTCAACACAGAACACCATAGACCAGTTATAAAGAATCCTAAACCAGCAACCAACGCAAACTGGTTCAGAATCCACCTGAACCAGTTCCTTAAACAGTCTAAACCATGTGTAACCCAACACAAACCAATTCAAAACCAGTCCCAACTAGTTTCAAAATGACCTCAACACACCCAAGCATTTCAGATTCAGCTGAAACTGGTTCCGAACTAAACCAGTTGTAGTGCCCTCATCCGAAATGAAGCAGCCGAAACCAGTTCAGACCCATTTAAAGGCAATTAAGAGGATGTGGCCCAGACCAGTCCAGAACCTGCCTAAAACCAGTTTAGAATGAACGCAAAATTGGTGGAAGGCCGGTTCTGGACCAAGTCAGATCACTTCAGAACCAACCCATACAAGTTCATATGTGGTTTAACCTGGTTCCAAACGGAACCAAAACCAACATTTCAGTAGGTTCAGCTCCTTTAAACCATCAACACGACATAAACATCTTAGAACTGACGAGCCAGAACCAACTTCACCAGACTGCCAACAGTCTCAACCCACTTCAAACTAACCCAGATATTACAGAACCAACACAGACCATTTTTAAAACTTAACCAGGTGAGAACCAGGCCAGACCAGTTTGGACCCTGTGTCCTGGATTCCTGCAGCTGCATTAAAACAGGTCTGAAGGTTTAATGGTTAATTTAAGGTAATAACAGTCTAAGACTCTTGAGATGTCCCTTTGCAGTAACTCGTCCTGCCTGGACACATGTTTGGACAATCAGTTGTGAGGACTTGAGGCCATGTGGAGTCAGTCTGTCTGTAGACCAGTTTAGCCTCTGAGCTACTAAAGATCTGGATCTGATGCGTGTTCAGTGCTACCTGGAACAAACTTAAACCAGTTCAGAATCAAACTAAACCACTTTAATAAAACCCAGGCTACTTCCAAAGGCCGCTTCAAAACCAGCTCTAATAGATCCAGTCTAGCCCAGACCAGTTCAGAATCAGTACTGACTGGAACCAGTTTAGAAAGAAGACTAAATGTACTGGACAGTTTCTGCTGCGTCGACCTGGATCACCTCAGTTCGACTGTAGATGAGTATCGGTTCATTAAAATGTCTCCTGCAGCAGGACGTAGACCTGCAGTCGATCCAGGAAGTCCTCACAGAGACAGAGGGTTCAGCCGGGGGACTGTCGGTCCATCAGCTGTCCGTCTGTGTCCAGGTGGTGTGATGCTCTGATGTCTGGATAAACAGCCTTTCTGAAGCTCTTAATAAACCAAGTGAATTTCTGTCTGTGAACCAACGGCTCTGACTTTTCTCTTCTGACTCTTTACAGTTTATTTTCTTGTTTATTTCGTGTTAAATGTTGAAAATGAAGGCATTGTGATATTTTGGGCCCCGTAGAGAAAGTGTCTAATGATGAGTGGCATTTGTAGATCTTATTTTAGTGTCTCAGCTTTTTTAAAGCGACGCTACCCTGTGACAGTTACAACAACTGACTCGTTTTTCCAAAATCATAAACTGAGGAAAAAGTTGTTTATGGGTTAAAGTTTAAAATCAGCAGCTGCTGTCATCAGGTTCAAGTTGTTTGTGTGACAGCTGTAGTTCACTAGTGACTTCACTTCTTATTGTTTCACATTTATTTACACACGGGCTGAAACAGTAAAAACTTCCAGCAACAGAAACATGTTAGAAACAGAGACTTTTATTTTGAAAGTCAGAGTGGCAGGTGTTTGAAACATGTTGGTTTGATAGTTTTATTTCTGATATGAATATCGATACACTGTTAAATATTCATTTGTGTAGCAGTAAGTGTTTACTCCTCGAGAACAGTGAGCTCCAGCTGTGCTGCCATCAATTATTATTAAATTAAAACTAAATTAAATTTCACTGTTGAAAGAAGATGAATATTAAGTGTTTAGTAACACTGTTATAGTTTCCTACATTCACGAAAAACTAGTTTAACACTGCCGTTAGCTAAGTCAGCTAGTTGTTAACCTAGCTTAGCATTGCTTTAGCCCAAAAACATGCAGCTCCAACTTCCGCATGAGGAGTTTTTAATTAGACATGAAGGACTCGGTTCTGACCTGGTTCTGGTCTGATGTCATCAGGTCTACAGTAAATATGAGAACAGTTTAAATACTGTAACAGACTAGAACTGATCAAACATGTTCAACTCTTTCATCGGGAGCACAAGGCATCGTGGGTAACAGAACAAACATGAACTATCTTATTGTTTAATGTGTGGAAACCTGTCGTCATGTTACAGTTCACTGTTTGTCCACAGGGAGGCGCTGTGAGTCAGACTGCTCACACTGCTGCTGCTCCTATAAACCAGGATGAAGTCCCGCCCACCTCCACCATCCTGACCAGATGATTGGACGCTGCAGCCGTCACTCTGACTGACAGGTGTGTTCAGTCACTTTATTTCAAACAGACGGTGAAGAGTTACTTACAGCTGTTGTCTCTAGACATAGAAACATGTAACAAACACACGTCACAATGTCACACCAGTGATGAAAAAACAAACAATGGTCAATCAACAACAAACTCAACGCTCAGTAAACTGTTCTATCATGTGTTTGTATTGTTGTTGTTCAGCCTGTGACCAGCAGATGGCACAATAACACATGATAATATAGCGTGCATGTGCATCAGAGCTGCACCTGTATGTAAGTGATTGTGTGAAACTGACTTTCACTGACACAGACAGGTGTTAGTTAAAACGCGTTTCTCCTCTCAGTGGTTCAGGTGACAGTCGAGTTTTTGATGACGGAGAATTATGGCTCTTAAACAAATAACAGAGTGTGACGTTTCTTTATACACAGTTCTACCAGCACCATCTTAGTTCAATAAGCAACAACAGATTATGATTAGTTTGTTTATTTCATCATTGATTTGTCTACACCAACACAAATAGATCCTGCACCGGTACTGGACTGTTGCTAAGCAACACATAAACATGTTCCTGACCTGCACAGTGACACTAGCTGCTACCTCGTCTCCTCGTTCCCTCAGGTGTCTCTGAAGGATCCACCTTCTTCCTTCATCCTCTCCTGACGAACAGATATATTTATATATTTTCATCTTTGTTACAATCTGAGATCGATAACGACGTTAATGTGACGCTGATTAACGGTTAATAGATGAGCTGTGAAGAGGAGTGATACATGGAGTTAAAAGTGCAGCAGCTTCATGGAATGACTCGTCCAATCAGATCACTTCAGAACTGACTGTTCTTTAATGTTTCATTGAATTTTTTTCATTATATTTTTTTGGGCTTTTGTGCCTTTATTGGACAGGATAGTAGAGAGAGACAGGAAACAGGGAGGCAGAGAGAGGGGGAATGACATGCAGTAAAGGGCTGTGCGATGCGGGATTCGAACCGGGGCCGACTGCGGCGAGGACTGTGGCCTCTACACATGGGGCGCCTGCTTAGACCACTGCGCCACTTAACGCCCCATGTTTCATTGAATTTAACTGACACAATAAAATATTTTTTTGACACAGGTGAAAGAAGAATTGAATTAATTCATATACTGTATTTACAGCCCACGACAAACTGAACAGGAAGTACTGTCTGCTCAGTGTCCTTCAGTTTCACTCGTGGACTCAACGCCTCATATTGGACACGCGATGGGTTAAAAATAAAACCAATAAAACAGAGTGTAGTCCAGGAGATGATGGATGAGGGGATTAACAGGAGGCGAGCCACGGTCAGCAGGAAACCTTGTTAATCCAACAGACGAGACTCGTACGAAGTTGTAATCGACCTCTGATCAGGTTCAGCCTCCGTCACTGAACCCGAGCAGCAAAAGTCCCTCAGATGTGGACCTGAAGGTCATTCCCTCCAAACGTCCTTCATGTACGTGTTCTCGTGACAAAGACTTGGGTGAAGCTTTGTTCACAGATTAACAGCTGATGGATTACAGGATAATAAAAGTGCCGCTTCTGTTTTCAGGTGAAATCCTCAGAGTCACAACCGGCATTCACTGACTTTATGATTCTGTCAAAGATGAAACAGCCCCACAGTAAATACAAACCGCAGCTCAAACTATACTGATCAATCAATTAGCTGATTAATTGGTAACTACTTTGATGATGATTCAATTCATTTTTCATGTGAAAAGACTTCATGACTCCAGAACCTCAGATGTGAGGATTACCTGCTTCTTCTTTTTGAAATTATTTTCATAAAGTTGATTTCATTATATTGATTTATTTTATTTGTATTGATTTCTTTTCATAATTTTGAGTTTGGACAAGACAATCATGGTGAATGTTTTATATAACACAGTACTCTGGTGTTTTAGTCCTGGTTTGGTGTATTTGGTTTTGGTGTTTGATCTTGTCAGGTCCTGGTCTAATGACAGCTCTGCTCTGAAACATGTTCATGAAACAAACAACTCTATAACAGATATGACTCACCTTTTCGGGTATGACATCAGCACTGGTCTCTGTTGGTACACACGATTGGCTTTAAAGTCAAGCCTGAGATCAGTCAGAAAAACATGTTTATCGTCTGCAAAGAAAAGTATTTCCTTATTTTTGGTACTCAGACTCTGGTGAGGTCATATCAAGATGTTTCCCTCTTTTTTTACTGCAGGCATCTTCACCGCCCCCCTGAAAGGTCTCTACTACATTCGGATGACGGGCAGTGTCGGAAACTCCGGGTCCGTGGACATTTCACTGAGGAAGAACGGTCGGAGTATGTTTGGCATCTACAACACCAATGAAAAGTACAGCAGCAGCTCCAACGGCATGACAAT